GAATTAATAAACGAAAAAAATTAAAATATATAAATAGTATCACACATTTTTTAAAAATATTTTTCTGTAATGATAATCATGATACATATGTGAAAATATGTAAAAATGATATTTAGAAGAACTATGTAGCAAAATACGTAGATAGCTATTACATACAGGTACCTGATACAAAATTGCCAAAGCTCACTAATCTATTTTAATTAATAATTTAGGAATCTACGTAGTCGTTTGCAAAATTGTAAAGAACTTTTTTGTATTTATTTGTCTTCATATATACAAAAATACGATGCAAATCATATTTATCGTCACATTCTATACCGTATGTCGCACATTCACACACTCATTCGCTGATCTTCTTTAATTAATAACTCATAATTTTACGTAGTTGCTCGCGAGTAAGTAAAGAAATTTTTTATCCAGTTTGATCTAATCTTACCTTGTATATATACTAAGTAAATTATTTTTAAACTAAGTAATAAATGATTACGGACATAAAATTGTTAATTACAGAGGTATATGGCGATGAACCTGAACCTATCGTGGGTGGCGACGTGGCATCGCCTGGACAATTTCCATATCAAGTCTCCATTCAGCGATACGGCTCCCATACTTGCGGGGGAACTATTATTAGCGACACACATATCATCACTGCTGCTCATTGTATACCGCGTCTACAAATTCAGCAGATATCCTTGGTCCGTAAATAACAGTAACTAGTGAGAACGATTTGTTCGATTGTATTGATTTTTTCTTATACAGGATGTCTCACACTCCCCTCCGGGCATTTTGTGGGGACGTAGAACAGATTGAGATGAACATAAAAGTTACCTATACTGTTTTGCGACATTCGCAATAATTATCGAGATATAAATTGTAGAAAACTTGTAAATGATTATGCAGAATATAGTAAATGAGTCATAGTAGCGACGACTGCCGTCGTATACTTATACTTTAGGACAAATTGAACAAAGAAGTCCTCTATTATTTTCCAAATAATTACATAGATTTTTAATTATTAATTAAGGAAGATGAGTACATTATCACGCAAAATCCTGCAATAATCTTCTTTAATTAATAATTAAAAATCTATGTGATTATTTGGAAAATGATAGAGGATTTTTTTATTTAATTTGACCTAAAGTATAAGACATGACGGCGTCGTTACTATAACTCATTTACCATATTTTGCATGATCATTTACAAGTTTTCTACAATTAATATCTCGATAATTATTGCGAATATCGCAAAACGGTGTGGGACTTTTATGTTTACCTCAACCTGTTCTACGTCCCCACAAAATTCCCGGAGGAGAAGGTGAGACACCCTGTATATACATTATAAATAATATATAAAAAAATTAGAGATGCGGTAGTTTTTATTTCTAACGCTTGTATCATCATTTTCTAATTTACTCTACTGCTTCTATCTAATTCATTAAAAGTATTCGGTATGCAGACTGTTGTTACTGGAACAAACAACGTACGAACTGGAGGTGAACGACACAAAATCAAGTGCATTCAAGTGCATGAAGACTACAATTCTCTCTCACGTAAAATAAACAACGATATCGCTTTGATCACTGTAAGCATAATTCTCAGTTCTCCTAAAGTGCGTAAGGAAATATGATGTGTACACGACAATCGAAACGCTTTTGTTCTCGTAGTTAAAAACACCGATTAAGACGAGCAATGTCCAAGCTCCAATTTCTATAGCGAGTAAAGATTATGCCGATGGCAACCATAATGCTATAGCAAGTGGATGGGGAAAACTCGGCTTAAACAAAAACATACCGACAATGCTTCAATATCTCAAAGTAAAAGTTTTGACACATAAGGATTGCCAGACAGCACATCCAAGCAATTCTGTGAATCAAATATGTACCTATCGTGACTATGGGCAAGGTCTTTGCCATGTGAGTGTCTTACCTTATTTTATGCATAATGATCTGAAAGTAACTTTTTATACGTACGCGTATCCTCATTGAGAACAAGAAACAAGTTGAAAGAGTTACTAATTAAAAATATACAATTTTTTAGGGTGACAGCGGCGGTCCTCTCGTTTGTAATGATCAACTTGTTGGTATTGTCTCCTGGGGCAAACCCTGCGCTGTGGGTGAACCTGATGTATTCACTAATGTTTATACGTATCGGCCTTGGATTGAAGAACATCAGAAGAAGTGCTGATCATTCTAATAATCACAGTTGACCGGCGATCTATATTCCAAACATTACCAAGAATTTTCAGTTAAAGCGTGTGAAACACGTTGCTACTGTCATTAATACGTTCTATAGAAGTGATATAAAGGCATAAAATAAACAATAAAAAAATATAATTAAAAATAAATTATGTATTTCTCTTCCCGACATAAACTTTTTTTTTATGAAACCAATAATTAATCTAAAGCTATGTATGGAGAAAAATTATTATAATAAAAATTGCAATAAAAACTTTTGGAATTATATGGAGAGTGTGACTGAAACTATTAAATATTTACTTAAAAGTAACATGCAGCCATCAGTATATGAAAAAATGTGTCTTTTTTTCGCTACGATTTTAGTATTAAGGTTTTCAAGTTCGCAGAATCCGAATATGATACTAGAATTTCAAAATTCAAAATATCGGACCCAATATGGTGGATTAAATCCAATTATTTTTTCAATTTTTATCCGCCATATTGGATCTACTATCTTGAATTTTGAGATTCAGATATCATATTTGCATTCAGTGAAGCTTCATACAAATCACAGAAGAATAAATCTGTTTTTTTTAAGATATATATATATATATATATATATATATATATATATATATATATATACATCACACACTAATGGCACGTCTATTTTCTGTACATGTATGTTACCATGTATACACTCAAAAGGGATTTGATTTGTATCTATTCTGAATCTTCTTCGTGTTATCAAACAGAAAAGAATAAAGAATGATACTTACCATATTATATTTATCAGGATATTATATTATCTTTCAGACATTGTGTGTGAAAGTCAGCCTGTAATAACAGAGTGTCGCACATTTTAAACTAATATTATTATCATAAATAATAGGACAAACATAACTTTATATTTTATGCATAAAATATTTCATTAATTAAGAAGCAATTTCCATTCTCTTCTTCGACAAAACAAAATAATTTATGCGAATAAATGTTAAACTACTACACATGTAATGTAAACTTACAATGGATATATATGACTATATGATACTTCATTTGACGACAGGAAGGAAGTATATAATAAATTATGAGATTACATAAGTGTTTTTCTCACGACCATTGGTGCACGGAACAAATATAAGGCCTGCAAACATTATTAACAACTCAATAGACAAAGTAATTAATGTGCGACCAGTATAATACAAGGTAAATAATGGCAGCTGTTATACAAGGTCAAACACAAGGATATAAAAGGAAGCGCTGAGTGTTCTACGTATCCAGTTTGCAATTTGTTGTGGACCTGATTATCGAATTACGACCACCGAGATAATGAAGTTAGCAATTATGCTGGTTGTCGGCGTTATCGCCAGTAAGTAACAAAAGCCCGATAATAAAAAATCAAAAACTTACATCCAAGCAATGCATAATTAGCATATGTTAATATTGCTTATTGTACAAAATAGTAAATCAGAGAATATGAAAGAAAAAGAATTAATAAGTGAAAGAAGTTAAAATATATAAATAGTATCATGACTACATTTTTTTTATATATTTTCCTGTAGTGTTATACGTATTAATTATAAATTTATAAAAATGTGTAAAAATAACACATATAGAAAAACTGTATAGCAAAATACGTAAATATGTTTCAACTATTATGTACAGGTGTATGATATGAGGCTGTCAAAATTCATTAATTTCTTTTAATAAATAACTTAAAAATCTGTATGATTGGTCGCAAAATGCTAAAGGACTTTTCTGTGTCACATTGGTCTCAATATGTACAAAAGCGCAACACAGATCGTACATACCGTCACATTTTGCACTGCGCATTCACACACTCAGTCGTCGATTTTTTTAAATTAACAACTCATAGTTTTATGTGCACGGAAAAAAAGATTTGCTAATATCTGGACAAATAAAAATATTAACTGCAAAAGCAAATTTTTTTGCTTTCATAGCAAAGATATTTAGTTCACATAACTAAATAACTTTGCTATAAAAAACAAGAAAATTTCCTCTTGCAGTTAATATTTTTATTGTCCATATATTAGCAAATCTTTTTTTTCCGTGCGGTGGTTCGCAACTAACTAGAGAAACATTTTGTCTAATTTAATTTAATCTTACTTCGTATACTAAGTGGAATCTTTTTAGGCGAAATAATAAATAATTACGGACTTAAAATTATTAACTATAGAGGTATACGGCGATGAACCTGAACCTATCATGGGTGGCAACACGGCATCGCCTGGACAATTTCCACATCTAGTCTCCATTCGGGAAGATGGCCACCATATTTGCGGAGGAAGTATTATTGATGAGACACGTGTCCTCACTGCTGCTCATTGCATATCGTCTCAAAGTACCGCGCAACGCTTGGTACGTAGATAAAAGTAAATAAGATAGTAAGAAAAATATTTCCGATTATTGGTGTTTTTGCTTATATACATATTATAAATATAGCTTATAAAAATTAGAGACGCGATAGTTTTTATTTTTAGCGCCTTTTATCATCATATTATAATTCACTGTGTTACTTTTATTATAATTCACTGTGTTACTTTTATTTAATTCAACAAAAATATTCGTTACGCAGACTATTCTAACCGGAACAAACGACGTAGAAGGTAGAGGTGGTAAAGTACACCAAGTTCAGAGCGTTCAAGTGCATCCAGAGTACGACCCGTGGAGTGAACATGCGAATGATATCGCTGTGCTGACTGTAAGTATAATTTTCAGTTCTCTTAAAGTGCGTATGGAAATATGATGTGTACACGACAATTTGGAATATTTTTTTCTTCTAGATGGTTATACCGATTCGCTTCAACAATCTACAACGTTCAATTTCTCTAGCGAATAAAGATTATGCTGATGGCCAAACTCTTTGTATAGTAAGCGGATGGGGACTGATCGGCCGAAGTTCATTTCCGTCGCCAATGCTTCAGTATCTCCAAGTGACCGCGCTGAGGCATAGTGAATGCCAAAAAGCGTATCCAGGCACTACTGATAAACAGATATGTACCTATATCAGCCATGGAAAACGTACATGCATGGTGAGTGTCTTACTTTATCTCTATGCATAGTGCATCTAAAAGTGACTTGTTATACGTACGCGTATCCTCATTGGCAATAAGATACGAATTGTAAGAATTACTAATTAAAAATATACAATTTCTTAGGGTGACAGCGGTGGTCCTCTCATTTGCAATGGTCAACTTGCTGGTATTGTCTCTTGGGGCAACCCCTGTACTATAGGTGAACCTGATATATTCACTAATGTTGTCCATTATCGGGACTGGATTAAGCAATGACTACATTCGTACTGATCATTTGAATAATCGCAGTCGACAGGCGATCTATATTTCAGACATGATCCAAAATTTTCAGTTACAGCGTGTGAAACGCGTTGCTAACGTTATTAATATGTAGAAATAAAAATGATATGAAAGCATAAAGAAAAGAATAAAAAAATATTATTTTAAATATATAAATTTTGTATATATTTCTCTTCCTGACATAAATTTTTTTATGAGACCAATAATTAATCTAAAACTGTATACAAATTGTACACAACTGTATACAAGCTGGATACATATTGGATCTACTATCTTGAATTTTGAGATTCAAGTATCATATTTGTATTGAGTGAACTTCGAAAACTGTAGGACACCAAACTTCATACAAACCACAAAAGGATAAATCGGTTTTTTTTAAGATGTATATATATGTACATCACACACTAGTGGCACGTCCATTTTCTGTACATGTATGATACCTACACACTCAAGGGAATAATTGATTTGTATCTATTCTGAATCTTCTTCGTGTTATCAAACAGAAAAAATTAAAGAATGATACTTACCACATTATATTTATGATGATATTATATTCTCTTTCAGATATTGTGTGTGAAAGTCAGCCTGTAATAACAGAGTGTCACACATTTTAAACTAATATTATTACCATAAATAATAGAATAAACATAACTGTATATTTTATGCATGAAATATAGTTTCATTAATTAAGAAGCAATTTCCATTCTCTTCTTCGACAAAACACAATAATTTATGCGAATAAATGTTAAACTACTATACATATAATGTAGATTTACAGTGGATATACAGGGTGTCCGAAAAGTCTGGACACGGCCGATTTTCTCGGAAACTATAGAAGTTAGAGGAAAATATTAATATACATACAAAAGTTGTAGGGTTTCAACCAATCTATCAACTGGTCACCCTTGTTTGACCTTGACGAGTAGGTGGAGGTCCGTGGAGGTCACTTGGAGGTCAAGATGATTTTTCTAAATGGGACACCCGGTATTTGGTAAGGTCATGTGAAAGCTGGTCCCGAGCCCTTTCCAAAGCCCTCAGCTCGGCCACTTCACCTCGGAAGGAATCTAATTGGAAGGAAGATTGTGAAGAGTGAGGACGGGTGGGAGTGCCCTTGCCGGAATGGTCAGAGAAGAGAGTGAGCGCAATTGGTAGCGTACACAAAACAAACCGCCCTGTTTAGGGCGACCAATTATTCAGTCGTGGGATAACGCTCTGGTTAGGGAAAATTTGTTAGAAAAACAACGATCTTCCATCATCTTGGTTGGGAGATCGGCGAACAGTCGCCGTTGCGACCGAGGTGAAGTGGCCGAGCTGAGGGCTTTGGAAAGGGCTCGGGACCAGCTTTCACATGACCTTACCAAATACCGGGTGTCCCATTTAGAAAAATCATCTTGACCTCCAAGTGACCTCCACGGACCTCCACCTACTCGTCAAGGTCAAACAAGGGTGACCAGTTGATAGATTGGTTGAAACCCTACAACTTTTGTATTTAACATTTTCCTCTAACTCCTATAGTTTCCGAGAAAATCGGCCGTGTCCAGACTTTTCGGACACCCTGTATATAATTATATGATACTTCATCTGACGACAGGAAGGAAGTATATAATAAATTATGAGATTACATAAGTGTTTTACTCACACGACTATTGATGTACTGAAAAAATATAAAATCTGCAACCATTATTAACAACTCAATAGATGAAGTAATTAATGTGTGACCAGCGTCATACGGGGTAAATAATGGCAGCTGTTATACAAGGTCAAGCACAAGAATATAAAAGGGAACACTGAGTGGTCTACGTATCAGTTTGCAATTTGTTGTGGACCTGGTTACTGAATTACAGTCATCGAGATAATGAAGTTAGCGATTTTGCTGATTGTCGGCGTTATCGTCAGTAAGTAACAAAAACTCGATAATAAAAAATCAAAAACTTACATCCAAGCAATGCATAATTAGCGTATGTTAATATTGCTTATTGTACGAAATAGTAAATCAGAGAGTATGAGAGAAAAAGAATTAATAAGTAAAAGAAGTTAAAATATACAAATAGTATCATAAATATGTATTTTTTTAAATATTTTCCTGTAGTGTTATACGTATTAATTATTATAAATTTGTAAAAAAAAGAATGTGTAAAAATAACACATGTAGAAAAACTATATATTAAAATACGTAGATATGTTTCAGGTATTACATACAGGTGTATGACATGAAGCTGTCAAAATTCATTAATCTCTTTTAATTAATAACTTGAAAATCTGTATGGTTAGTCTCAAAAGGGTAAAGGACTTTTTTGTGTCACATTGATCTTAATATGTACAAAAGCGCAACACAAATCGCACATAACGTCACATTTTGCACCGCACACTCACACACTCAGTCGTCGATTTTCTTTAATTAATAACTCATAGTTTTATGTGCAAAAAATGTGGAAAAAAAAGATTTGCTAATATATGGATAACTAAAATTATTAACTGCAGGAGCAAATTTTCTTGCTTTCATAGCAAAGTTATTTAGTTATCACAACTAAATAACGTTGCTATAAAAGCAAGAAAATTTACTCGGAGTTAATATTTTTAGTTGTCCATACATTAGGAAATCTTTTTTTCCGTGTGGTTGTTCGCAACTAGAGAAGCATTTTGTCTAGTTTGATTTAATCTTACTGCGTATACTAAGTGAAATCTTTTTAGGCGAAATAATAAATAATTACGGACTTAAAATTATTAACTATAGAGGTATACGGCGATGAACCTGAACCTATCGTGGGTGGCAACATAGCATATCCTGGGCAATTTCCACATCAAGTCTCCATTCGGGAAGACGACGAGCATATTTGCGGAGGAACTATTATTAGCAGTACACATATCGTCACTGCTGCTCATTGCATATCGTCTCTCATTTTCGTGCCCGACTTAGTACGTAGATAACAGTAGCTGGTAAGAACAATTCGTCCGATTATTGGTTTCTTTCTAACATGTTATTAATATGGCATAGAAAAATTAAAGACGCGATTGTTTACATTTTCAGCGCTTTCTATCATTATTTTCTAATTCACTGTGCTAGCTCTATTTAATTCAACAAAAATATTCGTTACACAGACTGTTCGAACCGGAACAAACAATGTAGATAGCGGTGGTCAAGTACACAAAGTCAAGTGCGCTCAGATACATCCCCAGTACGACTCGAGGGGTCATAAGAATGATATCGCTGTGCTCACTGTAAGTATAATTCTCAGTTCTCCTAAAGTGCGTATGGAAATATTGTATGTACACGACAATCTGGAATATTTTTTTCCTTCTAGTTGGCATCCCCGATGAGCTTCAACAGTCAACAAGTTTCAATTCCTCTGGCGAGTAAGGATTATGCCAATGGCAAAAATCATGCTATAGTAAGCGGATGGGGACAGCTCGGTGCAAACTCAGGCAGTCCGACAATGCTTCAATATGTCGATGTGAGAATGCTGAGCTATGATGAGTGCCAAGAAGATCATCCAAGCACTTCTTTTAAACAGATATGTACCTATAACAGCTATGGGAAAGGTTTATGCATGGTAAGTGCATAACTCATAACTTATCTTATCTTATGCATAATACATCTAAAAGTCACTTTTTATATGTACGCGTGTCTTCATTGGGAATAAGAAACGAGTTGAAATAATCACTAATTAAAAATATAATTTCTTAGGGTGACAGCGGCGGTCCTCTCATTTTCAACGATCAACTTGTTGGTGTTGTCTCGTGGGGTATTCCCTGTGCTGTGGGTCGAACTGATGTATTCACTAGTGTCTACTATTATCGGGACTGGATTAGAGAATGTCAACAGATGTGCTGATCATTCTAATAATCACAGTCGACCGGCGATCTATATTTCAGACATTATCCAAAGTTTTTAGTTACAGCGTGTGAAACGCGTTGCTAACGTTATTGATATGTTTCATAGAAATGATATGAAAGTATAAATTAACAATAAAAAATATTATTTGAAATAAATTTTGTACACATTTCTCTTCCCCGCATAAACTTTCTTTTATGAGACCGATAATTAATCCAAAGCTGTATGCGAAGAAAAATTGTAACAAAAGTTACAACAAAATTCTGAAACCATATGGAAAATATGATTGAAATTATTATATATTTATTTAAAGATATTATGCACTCTAGATATCTTATTACAAAATTGTCATTGTTAAAATAGCCTTAATTAATTGCTTTTGTCATTGTTAAAATAGTCTTAGTTAATTGCTTTTGTCATTGTTAAAATAGCCTAAAATAAATAATATTATCAAAATAAAGAAAAAATATTATAGTTTTTGTGCAATTACATTTATTATATTTTCACATCAAAAAGGTAATTTTTGTGCAATTGTATTTATTGTTGGTATGAGTAGTATGTTATGATACTTATATAATAAAAAGGTGAGATAATATAAATATAAATTTTTCGATATAGTGCATTAGGTTTTACAAGTATTACTCTTTACAATTTTCAATATTTTATGACTTCATTCAAAGTAGACACGTCAAACATTAGAATACTCGTATGGTAATACTCATAGATTCGAAACTTTGCGTCATTTATCGCTGATTCCCTTATTTCAGAATTGTATTCCTTTGATGCTTCTTTCTCGAAGTCGAGTTTTAGCTGTTGCGTTATATAAATAACACGCAAAAATAAATTTAGAAAATTAATTAAATAATTACCTCTGAAGTCGAACTAAAATAATAATACACAGTATATATTTCTAACATAAAGAATCTTTTTTATCCATTAGAACGTAGAATATTTCGCAACTCAAAGTTCTGTCGATGGACGATATTGCGAAAGATGAACGGATTAATGTACGCCGTGCTACCTTTAATGACCGTTTATTAGTCGTAGACTTTTAGTTATTAATTGGAGAACATTAATATATATAATCGCAAGCGACTATCCACCTATTTTTTTCAAGTAATAATTCAAGAAACGCTATCACAATAACGGAATCCAAAAAACGATGTAGGACTTCTGTAGTCACCTTAGTTTGTACTATGTCTTCAATTTCGGAGCTTGTTCTAGGACAGCTTATATATAGTATACGCAACCCGATTCCAGATTACGATTAAATAATTTTCTTCTTTTAAGTGAGACATGTGTAGATACCAACTTTCATTTTATTATTTTTGTTTAAATATTTTTAAAAAACGTATATGGTACCCTTAGTGATAAATTTTGTTACAATTTCGTTAAAGGAAATGTCACTCTTTTGTCGCTCGTCCTTGGACATTCTTTAATTCGTGATCAGAGATTCTCTCCCATAACTTTGTTGATAATTGAGACAATTTTACAGCAATCGGGATAAATTTTTTTTTTAAATTAAACATTAATCAATGTAGAAAAAACTGTGGAGCCCGATTTTTTTTTAAATTCTTCTAAATGTTGCAATATTAATAAGAATTGAGTTCGTATTCAGCAATGTATAATGTGATATCAGTGGTAAGTATTAATTAATTTGTATCTATTCTGAATCCTCTTCATGTTATCGAACAGAAAAAAGCAAAGAATGATATTTACCACAAATTTTGTATTTATGATAATATTATATTCTCTTTCAGACAACGTGTATAAAATCTGTAATAACAGAGTTTCATACACATTTTAATCTAATATTAATATTACCACAAAAAATAGAACATAAATAACTTTATATTTTATGTATAAAATATAATTTTATTAATTAAGAAACAATTTACATTTCCTTTTTCGACAAAATGAAATAATTTGTACGAATAAATGTTAAACTACTCTACATTTAATGTAGAATAAAAGTAGATATATATGATTATATAATTTAGCTATCGACAAGAAGGAAATACATGATAAATTATGAGATTATAGATGTGTCTTTCACTCCACCGTCAATGCATCGAACAAATATAAGGTCTGCAAGCGTCATTAACAACTCAATAGATAAAATAATTAATGTGTGTCCAATGTAACACGGAGTAAATAAAACCAGTTGTTATACAAGGTCAAGCACCGATATCGGGTATAAAAAAGAATGTTGAGGAGTATCCAGTTGTCTACGTATCCAGTTTGCAATCTATTCTTGACCTGGTTACCGAATTACGATTATCGAGATGACGAAGTTAGCAATTCTGCTGGTTGTCGGAGTTATCGCCAGTAAGTATCTAAAACTCGATAATAAAAAATCAAAATCTTACATTCAAGTAATGCATAATTAACGTATACTAATATTGTTTATTATACGAAATATTAAATGAAAGTGTGAGGGAAAGAGAGAATTATATAATATATGAAAAAAATTAAAATATACAAATAGTATCATGCACAACATTTTTTAAAAATAATTTTCCGTAGTATTACATGCATTAATTATTATATACGTGTAAAAATGTGCAAAAATAACACATGTAGAAGAACTATATAGCAAAATACGTAGATTTCTTTTACATACAGATGCCTGATACAAGGCTGCCAAAATTCACTGACCGCTATTAATTAATAAGTTAAAAATTTACGTGGCTGTTCGCAAAATGGTAAAGGACTTTCATTTGTCTTAATATATACAAGAGCACAACTCATACTTATCGTCAGACTCTGCACTGTATCTCGCGCATTCACACACTCATTTGCCGAGCTTCTTTAATTAATAACTCAGTTTTACGTGGTTATTCGCGACTAAGTAGGGAAATGTTTTGTCAGTTTAATCTAATTTTATTCAGTATATATATTTTACGTAAAACATTTTTAGGCGAAGTAATAAATGATTACGGATTTATAATTATTCACTACAGTGGTATATGGCGATGAACCTGAACCTATTGTGGGTGGCAACATGGCATCACAAGGACAATTTCCACATCAAATCTCCCTTCGGGAAGACGACTATCATATTTGTGGAGGAAGTATTATTAGCAGCACGCATATCCTCACTGCTGCTCATTGCATAACGTCCCCAAATATCGCGCCGCGCTTGGTACGTAGATAATAGTAGCTAATAAAAACGATTCATCCGGTCGGTTTTTTTCTTGCATACATTTATTATAAATATGCCATACAAAAATTAGAAACACGATAGTTTTTATTTTCAGCGTTTTCTATGATTATTTTCTAATTCACTATGATATTTCTACTTAATTCAACAAAAATATTCGTTACGCAGACTGTTCGAACCGGAACAAACAACGTAAAAAGCGGTGGTCAAGTACACAAAGTCAAGTGCGTTCAAGTGCATTCAGGGTTCGACAAGTATTGCCTTGAGAACGATATCGCTTTGCTCACTGTAAGCATAATTCTCAGTTTTCTTGTGCATATGAAAATATGATATACGTATGATACGAGTGTACACGACACTCTGGTATATTCTGTTTCTTTTAGTTGGCATCTCCGATCAGCTTCACCAGTCAACAATCTGCAGTTCCTCTGGCAAGTATGGATTATGCCAATGGCCAAAATCGTGCTATGATAAGCGGATGGGGGCAGCTCGGTAAATGGTCAAACATGCCGACAATGCTTCAATATGTCGATGTGACGATGTTGAGCCATGATGCATGTCAAAAAGCGCATCCAGACACTTCTTCTAAACAGATATGTACCTTTAACAGCTATGGAAAAGGTGCCTGCATGGTGAGTGTTTTACCTTGTCTTATATTGTCTAATATATCTGAAAGTGACTTTTTATACGTACGCGTATTCTCATCGGAAATAAGAAACGAGTTGGTAGAATCACTAATTAAAAATATACAATTTTTTAGGGTGATAGCGGCGGCCCTCTCATTCACAACCGTGAACTTGTTGGTGTTGTCTCCTGGGGTATCCCCTGTGCTAAAGGTGAACCTGATGTATTCACTAGTGTCGACTACTTTCGGGACTGGATTAAGGAACATCAACAGAAGTGCTAATCATTCGAATAATCACAGTCTATCGGCGATCTATATTTCAGACATTATTCAAAATTTTCAGTTACAGGGTGTGAAACGCGTTACCAACATTATTAATATGTTCTATAGAAATGATATGAAAGCATAAATTAACAATAAAAATATATTATTCAAAATAAATTTTGTACACATTTCTCTTCCCGACATAAATTTTTTTTATAAGACCAATAATTAATCTAAAGCTACATATAGAGAAAAATTGTAATAAAAATTATCACAAAATATTTCTGAAACCATATGGAAAGTATGATTGAAGTTATTATATATTTACTCAAAAACATTATGCACTTTTGACATTTCATTACAAAATTAACGTAATTACTTGAGTGTTTTTGTCATTGTTAAAATAGCCCAAATATTATCAAGATAAAGAAGAAATATTATAATTTTTATGCAATTACATTTATTATATTTACACATCGAAAAGGAATGTGTAATTGGATTTGTTGTTGGTATGACTGGTATATTATGATATGTATATAACAAAAAGGTGAAATAATATAAATATAACTTTTACGATATAATACATTGGGTATTAGGAATGTTACTATTTATTATTATAATTTTCAATATTTTATGACTTTTTTTTAAATACATATATTAAACATTATAATACTCGTATGATAATATTCATAGAGTCGAAACTTCACGTCGTTTATTGCTAATTCCCTTATTTCACAATTGTTTTTGATGCTTCTCTCTCGAAGTCGAGTTTTAACTGTCGCGTTATATAAATAGCACGCACAATAAATATAGAAAATTAATTTAATAATTATCTCTAAAATGGAACTAAAATAATAATACATACGTGTAAATTCCTAACACAAGGAATTTTTCGTTGTTTTGTCCATTAGAACGTAGAATGTTTCCGTGACTCAGAGTTCTGTCGATGGACGAGCGTCGCAAAAGATGAATGGATTCATATGCACCGTGCTGTCGTTAACAATCGTTTATTACTTGCAAACAATATGTTCAATAAGTCTAGCGGTCAATTCCGCAATAACCTGATCGATGGGCCGTTCTCGGAATTCAGACATCACAAGAACTTTCTTATATCAATTTGCGACGTACATACTTCAGCCTACAAGTTTTATGCTTGAACAACGTTCGAGCTTTCATTACCGATATTTATGCTATATGTTGACAACTTGATATCAAATCAATATTTATCCCGAAAAAAAACGATAACGAACGAGTTATCGCTTAAATTCTCCTATAAAAGGGCTTCCAAAGATCAATGAAATCCTGTGGAACTTATACTTGTAGGTTTCGACGTGTTGTGGAGTTCATTGAAGACAACATCAACAGCTCGTGTCCATATCTTTCCGCGATTTTCCTATTCCGTTACAATAACCAAGTCGTTTTACTTCAGCGGCAAGAAAAACATTTTCCAACAATTATGTTATTAAGTTGCAATAAAGCATATTTTTTAACAATCATTACTTAACGGATATAAATGACATTTTGCATAACGTGATGTGAGTGGAAAATATTAATTAATTTGTGTCTATTCTGAATCTTCTTCATGTTATTGAACAGAAGAAAATAAAGAATGATATTTACCACGATATATTTATAGTGATATTATACTCTCTTTAAGACATTGTGTGTGAATGTTAACCTGTAATAATAGATTGCTACATATTTTAATCTAATATTATTACGATTGATAATAGAATAAACATAATTTTATATTTCATGAAATATAGTTTCATTAATTAAGAAGCAATTTTTATTCTCTTCTTTGAAAAGATAAAATAAATTATGCAAATAAATGTAAAACTATTACAAATTTAATATGGAATTAAAGTATATATGTATGACTATATAAAATTTCCCCTTTCAAAGGGAAAGAATTATATGATAAATTATGAGATTACATAAGTGTTTTACTCACACAACTATTGATGTACTGAAAAAATATAAGATCTGCAAACATTATTAACAACTCAATAGATGAAGTAATTAATGTGTAACCAGCGTCATACGGGGTAAATAATGGCAGCTGTTATACAAGGTCAAGACCAAGAATATAAAAGGGAACACTGAGTGGTCTACGTATCAGTTTGCAATTTGTTGTGGACCTGGTTACTGAATTACGGCTATCGAGATAATGAAGTTAGCAATTTTGTTGGTTGTCGGCGTTATCGCCAGTAAGTAACAAAAACTCGATAATAAAAAATCAAAAACTTACATCCAAGCAATGCATAATTAGAGAGGGTTAATATTGCTTATTGTACAAAATAGTAAATCAGAAAGTATGAGAGAAAAAGAATTAATAAGTGAAAGAAGTTAAAATATACAAATAGTATCATGAACACATTTTTTAAAAATATTTTCCTGTAGTGTTACACGTATTAATTATTATAAATTTGTAAAAATGTGTAAAAATAACACATGTAGAAAAATTATATAGTAAAATACGTAGATATGTTTCTATTACATACAGATGTATGACATGAAGTGGTCGAAATTCATTAATCTCTTTTAAATAATAACTTGAAAATCTACGTGATTGGTCGCAAAATGGTGAAGGACTTTTTTGTGTCACGTTGGTCTTCATATGTACAAAAGCGCAACACAAATCGTACATACCGTCAGACTCTGTACCGTATCTGGCGCATTCATACACTCATTCGCCGACTTTTTTTAATTAATAACTCGTAGTTTTACGTGGTTGTTCGCGACTAAGTAGAGAGATTTTTTATAGTTTGATCTAATCTTATCCTGTATATTAAGTGAAACATCTTTAAGCGAAGTAATAAATAATTACGGACTTAAAATTATTAATTACAGATGTATATGGCGATGAACCTGAACCTATCGTGGGTGGTAACATGGCATATCCTGGACAATTTAAACATCAAGTCTCCATTCAGGAAGACGGCTACCATATTTGCGGAGGAAGTATTATTAGCAGCACGCATATCCTCACTGCTGCTCATTGCATATCGTCTCCAAGTATCGCGGACCGCTTGGTACGTAGATAATAGTAGCTAGGAAAAACGATTCGTCCGATTATTGTTTTTGTTTTACGTATATATTATAAATATGGCATAGAAAAATTAGAAATGCGGTAGTTTTTATTTTCAATGCTTTTTATTATTATTTTCTAATTCACGATGCTACTTCTATTTAATTTAACAAAAATACTCGTAACGCAGACTGTTGTAACCGGCACAAACAAAGTAATAGGAGATGGTGAATTATACAAAGTCAAGTCCGTTGTAGTGCATCCAGGGTTCAGCATGGATCACCTTCGGGACGATATCGCAATACTCACTGTAAGCATATTTCTCAGTTCTCCTGAAGCGCATATGGGGATGTGATGCTTACACAACAATCTGAAACGCTTTTTTTCTTCTAGTTGGAGGAACCGATTCCCTTCAACAGTCGACAAAACGCAATTCCTCTGGCGAGTAAGGATTACGCCGATGGCATTAATCGTGGTATGGTGAGCGGATGGGGAAAACTCGGTGCAAGCTCAGGCACACCGTTATACCTTCAATATATCGATGTGACGTTAATGAAGCCTAGTGAATGTCAAAAAGCGCATCCAGAAACTACTTCTAAACAACTATGTACCAATGAAGTGGGGCAGGGTGTATGCATGGTGAGCGTCTTACCTTATCTTATATTGGGTGCTTCCGAAATACCCAGAGTTGGGTCGAGTTGAGTTAGTTCCACTATAGTATATGTAACGGATACTATAGTGGAACTAACTCAACTTGACCCAAACCTGGACATTTCGGAAGCACCCATTGTGTAATACATCTGAAAGTGACTTTTTACACGTATCCTCATTAGGAATAAGAAACGAGTTGATAGAGTCACTAATGAAAAATATACAATTTCTACTAGGGTGACAGCGGCGGCCCTCTCATTCACAACCGTGAACTTGTTGGTATCGTCTCCTGGGGCATTCCCTGTGCTGTGGGTCAACCTGATGTGTATACTAATGTTTACCATTATACGCCCTGGATTGAAAAACATACTCTCTGATCATTCGACCGGCAATCTATATTTCAGACATTATCCAGAGGTTTTAGTTACAGCGTGTGAAACGCGTTGCTAACATTATTAATATGTAGAAATAGAAATGATATGAAAGCATAAAGTAAACAATAAAAAAATATTACTTGAAATAAATTTTGTACACTTTTCTCCTTCTGATAGAAATTTTTTTTTATGAGACCAATAATTAATCTAAAGCTGTATACGAATTATATTGTTAAAATAGCCCAGATATTACCAAAATAAAGAAAAAATATTATAATTTTTGTGCAGTTATATTTATTATATTTTCACATCGAAAAAGAAATTTTTTAATTTTTGTGCAATTGTATTTATTGTTGGTATAAGTAGTTTGTTATGATATATATGTAACAAAAAGGTGAAATAATATAAATATAAGTTTTACGATATAGTACATTGAGGACTACAAGTATTACTATTCATACTTTTAATTTTCAATATTTGATGACTTCATTTAAAATACGTCAAACATTAAAATACTCGTATAGTAATATTCATAGATTCGAAACTTCACGTTGTTTATCGCTGGTTCCTTTATTTCACAATTGTCTTACTTTGATGCTTCTTTCTCGAAGTCGAATTTTAGCTGTCGCGTTATATAAATAACACGAAAAATAAATCTAGAAAATTAATTAAATAATTGCCACTGAAATATCGAACTAAAATAATAATACGCATGTGTAAATTCTTAACACAAGGAATCTTTCGTCTTTTTATCCATTAGAACATAGAATGTTTCCGTGACTCAGAGTTCTGTCGATGGACGAGCATTGCAAAAAATGATCGGACTCATATGCATCGCACTGTCTTTAATGACCGTTCATTACTTGTAAACAATATGTTTATTACTTGTAAACAATATGTTCAAAGAGTCTAGCAGTCAACCCCGCAATTGCCCGACCGATGGACTGCTCTCAAAACTCAAACACTGTCACAGAAAAAACTAAAGATGTGACACTTGCCTACATATAGTTACTTGCCTAAATATAATGTACACAAACACAACCCTTCTAGAAATTTCATACTGATAAGTGATTATTTGGCTAGCGATAATTACTGTCGTTCAATAATTTTATTACTCGTACGAGCAATAAAATTACTATTTATTACTGACCAATTTATTACCAACCAGTGATAGTTTTCTATAAGAGAAGTGGGTATAACAAACGACATTTTATATAACGTAATTTCATTTGTGAATATTAATTGATTTGTGTTTCGTTATGTTTGTGATTGTCTCTTCGCGTTATCAAATGGAAGAGAGCAAAGATTTATATTTACTAAAAGATATTTTTACTTATATACTCATTATACTTATACTTTGCCAGACATTTTTTAAGTCAGCGTATAGTAATAGTGATAGATGTTTTAATCTGTGTAATTTTTTTTATACTACTATCATAAATCATAAAACAAATATAACTTTATGTTTTACGCATGAAGTAGTTTTATTCATTAAAGAGACTATTTTTATTCTCGTTTTCGACAAAATGAAATGATTTGTGCAAGTAAATGTGAAACTATTCCACATTTAATGTAGAATTAAAACAGATATATATATATATATATATATATATATACGTGTGACTAAGTTATATGATATTAATCTGCCGGTAAGAGAATATATATATTTGAAACTGTAAGACGAAAGTTTTAAGAAAGTTTTTTTGTCGACGTCGATACATAAAGAAACAGAGGATTCACAGGTGTTATTAACAATTGAATAAGATAAAATGCGTAATGTACGTCCAGTGCAAACACGCAAACAAAGCCAGCTGTTGTGCAACATTCTACACAGGCACCAAGTATAAAAAGGTAACGCTGAATAGTCTACTGTATTCAGTTTGAAATTCGTCCCGGATTCGATCACTAAATTACGGCGACTAAGATAAAGTTCACTATTTTGTTCATTATCGGTGTTATCGCCAGATGTGAGTAAATAAAGTTGATAATTAAAAATTATGATTTACGTACAAACAATATAGTTACAGTATGTTTATCTTTCTTTTTTAGTGCCTGACCAATTTAGACATTAAGTCTCGTCATAGAAACGATCATATATGAAAGGAAGTATTATGAGAGTCACAACATCGTGCTTGCTGCTCATTGCAAACTGAGTGAAGAAGAATGGAAACACTATGTACGTAACAGTAGCTAGCAAGGATGATTCACTCGATTATTGATTTTTTCTTACGTCACATTATAAATATGATATAGAAAAATTAGAGCCGCGGTAATTTTTCTTCCCAGCGCTTTGTATCACATCTCGTCTCCTAATTCATTTCGCTATTTCTATTTAATTGATCAAACATATTAGTACGTAGACTATTGTAACCGGTACCATCGACTTGAAAGAGCTAGACGACGAAAAACAATATCAAGTGCATTCAAGTGCATCCAGAGTACAAGCCGCGTATCTTTCTCAACAATATCACTGTAATCACTGTAAGCATAATTCTCAGTTTTTCTAAAGCACAGGGATGTAATGCACGACAATCTGAAATATTTTCGTTCTCCAATCGGCAATGCCGATTAAAATCAACAATCTACAAGCTCCCATTCCTCTAGCGAGTAAGGATTATACCACTGGTGCCCAATAGTGTACAATAAGTGTGTGTGTGTGTGTGTGGATGGGGAAAAACTACTATAATTCCGGCGAATCTTAAGTGGATCAACGTGAAGATTCTGACCCTGTCTAAGTACGGACGTAAGCACTTTTACACCAAAATCACTGAAAATCAAATATGCACCTATAAGAGTCTTGTCAAGTGAGTGTCTTATCTTATGCTTAATATATTTACAAGTGATTATTTTATACGTATGCGTATCCGTATTGAAAACGAGAAACGAATTGGAAAACCATTAATTAAAGTATACAATTTTTAGGATGATAGCGGCAGTCCTTTCATTTATTTCGCTACTTCTATTTAATTGATTAAACATATTAGTACGTAGATTATTGTAACCGGTACTTGAAAGAGCTAGACGACGAAAAACAATATCAAGTGCATTTAAGTGCATTTAAGTGCATCCAGTACGAGCCGCGTATCTTTCTCAACGATATAACTGAAATCACTGTAAGTGTATCTTTCATTCGTAACGGTGAGCTCGTTGGCGTCATCTCTTGGGGTCGTCCCTGCGCTATAGGTAAACCTGATATGTTCACTACAGTCTTTAACTATCTGTTTTTCATTCAAGAATCGAAGTGCATATAACTCGAATAATCACAGTCGATCGGCGATCTACTTTCCAGATATAAGCTAAAATTTTCAGTTACGGCGTGTGAAACACGTTGATAACGTCATTAATATTTTTCACGAAATGATATAAAAGCATAAACTAAATAATAAAAAATATCATGCGAAATAAACTTTTGTGCATATTTCTCTCCCCGGCATAAATTTTTTTATAAGACCAATTTTTAATCTAAAGCTGTGAGCGTGTACATGGAGGAAAAATGTTATAAAGAGATTATAACAAAATTTCTCTCGAATGGTAGCCTTATGTTTTATGTATGAGGCAGTTTTATTCATTAAGAAATAATTTTTATTCTCTTTTTCGACAAAATGAAATAAATTGTGCTAATAAATTTGAAACCATTCCACATTTAATGTGGAATTAAAGCAGATATATGTGTCTAAACTGTATAATATTCATCTACTGGCAGAAGAGAAGCGTATACTTTATGAGATAAAAGTTACATTGTTTTCTCGACGTTAATGCATCGAGCAAATAGAGAAACCGCAGGTGTTATTAATAATTGAATAGGTGCGTGATGTACGCATTAACAGGGTGATAACGCGCAAACAAAGCCAGCTGTTATGCAAGGTTAAGCACAGGTACCGAGTATAAAAGGAAACGCCAAGTGGTCTACTATATTCAGTCTGTAATTTGATTTGGGTTCGGTTATCGAATTACGACGATTAAAATGATGAAGTTTATTATTTTACTGATTGTCGGTATAATCGCCAGACGTGAGTAAACAAAATCGATAATTAAACATAATAACTTAGGTACAAGCAGAGATTAGTTTATGATACTTGTTGTACAAAATATTAAATAAGAGAGAGAGAGAGAGAGAGAGAGAGAGAATTATTATATAAAATATATAAAAATATATAAATTTTATGACGCATATTTCTTAAAAATATATTTTCCTAAATTTATGCACATAAATTATTATGTGCAAAAATATGCAAATATAATATAGGTAGAAGAATCATATATATATATATATATATATATATATATATATATATATATGTGTGTGTGTGTATATGTGTACTTTACGCACACTTATATGTATTGAGTGAAACATGTCTAGGTGAAGTAATAAATAATTACGGACTTAAAAAAATTATTAACCGCAGAGGCATACGCCGATGAACCTGAAGCTATTATGGGTGGAAATAACGCAGCGCCAGGTCAGTTTAAATATCAAGTCTCTATTCAGCACGGTTCACGGCACGGTGAACTGTACGGTCAACATATTTGCGGAGGCTGTCTTATTAGCGAATTCCATGTCGTCACTGCTGCACATTGTGTACCGGAAGATAAAAATACATGGAGATCCATGGTACGTACACAACAGTAGCTGCCGAAAACGATTTACTCGAATATTAATTCTTGTCTTAGATACATTATAATAAATAGGATATTGGAAAATTAGAGAGTTTCCACTTCTAGTCTTTTGTATCGTCATTTTTCGTTTCATTCTGTTACTTCTATTTAATACGTCAAAAATATTCGGCACACAGAGAGTTATAACTGGGGCCCTCTGGTCGATAAACAACGACGGCGAAAGTCACGAGATCAAGTGCATTTCTACGCATCCGAACTACACTGGTGACATAAATACAGGTTTGAAGCATGATATCGCTTTGATCACTGTAAGTCTAATTCTCAGTTCTCCTAACGCGCGTACGGGGATGTGATGCAACAATCTGAAATGCTTTTTTCTTCTAGTTGGTAACGCCAGCTTCGACGAACAATGTTCAAGCTCCGATTCGTCTAGCGAGTAGGGATTATGCCACTGGCCAATATCGTGGTATAATAAGCGGATGGGGAAAGACAACTATGGACTCAGACATGTCGCCGATGCTTCAATGGGTCCAAACCAATGTTCTGAGCCAGTCTGAATGCTTACAAACGTACCATCCAAATACGATTCCACAACAGATATGCACTTTAGAGAAGGCTGGAACAGGTGCCTGTACCGTGAGTATCTTACCTTATATCATGGTAGATATATCTGAAAATGACTATGTACACGTGTCCTTAATGAGAAACAAACTGAACGGAGTTAAAAATACACAATTTCTTAGGGTGACAGCGGTGGCCCTCTCGTTGTCAACGGTGAGCTCTGTGGTGTCGTATCTTGGACCGTACCTTGCGCCAAGGGTAGCCCTGATGTATTTACTAATTTGTTTTATTATCGGGACTTTATGATAGATAGTGTAAACAAATGTGCACATATGTGAGTCGAATAATCACATTCGGATAGCAATCTATATTCCAGATATTTCCTAGTGTTTTTAGTTGCCGTGCGTGAAACACGTCGGTCTCATCACTACGATTTTCCATAGAAATAACATAGAAACATAAAATACACACAATAAAAATACTATCCAAAATGAATTTCATGCGTGTTTGTTTTCTCGATTTAAACCTTTTTTTGATAAAATCAATAAATAATTTGAAGTTACATGGAGAAAATATTATAATATTTATTTAATATTATAAGAGTATGTTTCATATTATTATATATTTACTTAGAAATATTATAAATATATATTATATATTTATTTAAAAATATTATGCACGCACTAGGTATTTTATTACAAAATTTTTGTAATCACTCGAAAGTTTTTGTTATTATTAAATTGTTATTATTAAATTGTTATTATTAAATATGAATGATATTTGTCCTCGGTTTTGATATCCTACAACTCTTAACAAGACTATCTTTTATAAACTTGGTTAAATGATAGAAATCTCGGAACTAGCAGGTCTAGCTTGCACATGTTTTGGCAGTATCATATTTGTAATATCTTCTTTTAATATCTTATCGTGAAACTGCTTACTAAATTTTAGCAAATTTGTAATATTAAATCCGTTTATCTTCGAAGAGATCGAAGCACGATCAATACGTTTGAATTTTCTATATATTATATCATGTATAGGTTTGTAGAATCATATATTTGTAGATAATACCGTCGCCAACAACGTTGATTCAGCGTTGTTACTGGCTTTGTAGCTTAATAAAAAAATATTACATATATTTGGAATTAGTGATAAATAATCTTCAAACTCACATGTAGTTTACGCGCCAAATAAAGGATTAATTTAATATTTCTATCAAATAAATTATAAAACAAACTTTATGTTTTATACATTTCGTCATTCTATCCATTAAGCAGCAGCTTTTGTTTTTTTTTTTCGACAAAGCGTAATAATTTCTGCAAATAAATGTTAAATTATTTCCTATTTTATGTAGAATTAAAGGAGATATTTGACTAAGTTAGATGATGTTTCTTTACTGGCAGAAGAGCAACATAATTTAAATTGTGAGAAATAGAAGTCACTCCTTTTTCTCGACGTTTGATGCAACGAATAAATATATGGTCTGCAGGTGTTGTTAACAATTGAATAGGAAAAATACGTAATTGAATACGTATTTCCAATATAACAAGGTGCAAATAAAGCCAGCTGCTATACAAGGTTAAGCACAGGTATCGAGTATAAAAAGGAATGTCGAGTGGTCTCTTATGTTCAGTTTGTAATTCATTCTGGATGCGATTCCCGAATTACGTCGATCAAGATGTTGAAGTTAAATATTCTGCTCGTTGTCGGTGTTATCGCAAAACGTGAGTAAATAAAATTCGACATTCAAAAGCAATAATTCTCACACAAGCAATGTAAATAGTGTATGTTTATATTACTTGTATGAAATGTTATCTGAGGGAAAGAGAAAGAGAGAGGGAGAGGGGAAAGGATACATGAAATAAATTAGGGGAATCTTTACATGAAATAAACTAGAATAAGTAAATTTGGATCGTGCACATATTTGATATATATATATTTTCCTATAATCCTACGTATTTATTATTATATAATTAATAATGTAATATAGTAATTATATAATTATATATTAATAATTAAATAAATTATTATTATATAATTATATAAATATATAATTCTAAAATTATGCAAAATGTAAAATATACCAACAAACTTCTGTAGAAAAACGTATAGATACATTTTGGCTATTTCAACAAGCGAGATGTCTGCAGGCAAATGTGATTGGAAATTTGATTATTATCTGCAGAGGTATATGGGGATGCACCTGAAGCTATTGTGGGTGGTAACGTAGCCTTGCCTGGTCAATTTAAACATCAAATCTCTCTTCAAGTATCTAAGTTCCATATTTGCGGAGGTAGTCTGATTAGCGAGAATTATGTCGTCACCGCTGCTCATTGTGTTGAGGATCCAGGCGATCACAGATACATGGTACGCACATAACAGTTACTATCGAAAACAATTCATTCGATTAACGATTTTCTTTCTTAGATACACGTTATTAATATAATATGAAAAATTAGCGATGCGATAATTATCACTTTTAACATTTTATATTATCATCTTTTGATTTATTCTGTGTGTCCTTCTGTATAACTTGTCAAAATTATTCGATATACAGACTGTTGTAACCGGGGCTATCAGCTCGAGAGGAATGGATGGCGAAAGACACAAGATCAAGTGCATTCGCATGCATCCAGGCTATACTGGCAAGAAAGAAGACGGCTGGAAGGACGATATTGCTGTACTTACTGTAAGCCCGGTTCTCCTAAAATACGTACGGAAATGTAATACGTGTGCAATAATCTGATATACTTTCTTCTTTAGTTGGAAACACCGGCCAAGGAAAACAATCTCCAAGGCCCGATTCCTCTAGCAAGCAGGGATTACGCTGATGGCAACTATCGTGGTTTGATAAGTGGATGGGGAAAGACCAACGTGAAATCAAGCTCTTCGCCGGTACTTAATTGGATTGAAGTGAACGTTCTGACTCGGGCTCGTTGTTTAAGTGAGCATAATAACCCCAATAAAGCTCACACGAATCAAAAACACATATGCACCTTGGAAGAATTTGGGAAAGGTGCCTGCCAAGTGAGTGTTTCACCTTATTTTATGATCGATGCATCTGGAAATGATTATTTACACATATAGGTATCCTTATCGGGAACTTTAGAAAAGGTTGAATGAATCGCTAATGAAAGGTCTACAATTTTTCAGGGTGACAGTGGCGGCCCTCTTACTGTCAATGGTGAGCTCTGTGGTGTCGTCTCTTGGGTAATACCCTGTGCTTTTGGCGCATCTGATGTATTCACTAATGTCTTCTACTACCTGGACTTCATTAAGGAATGTCAAGAGATGTGCTGACAATTCGAATAATCGCAGTTGACTGACAATGTATTATTTCTTACTACATATTCCAGATTACCTAAAGTTTTCAGGTATGGCGTGTGAAACACGTCGGTCCCATCATTAATATTTTTCATACAGCAAGGTGATATAAAGAAACATAAAATAAACAATAAAAAATATAATTTTAGTTTTCTGCGTATTTCTTCACTTGATTTAAACTTTTTTTATAAGATCAATGATTAATCAAAGGCTACATAGACAAATTTTTATAGCAAAAATTACTTTTGTAATTTTTGACTATATAGAAATTATGAATAAAATTATTGCTATATATTTGCTTTAAAATATTATACTCCTTATATTCCTTGAAGATAACTTTGATAATACATTATATTATAACAATATTAACTTATAATAAAGCGCATCTTTCGTTGCTTAACTAGATGCAAAAGAAAAAGTGTCAATATTTTGGGCTGACGCAGTGTGATGAAATAAATCCACTAAAAAAGCAATTCTTATTTTTTTTGTCAAAACAAAGCAATTTATATAATTAAACTATTTTACATTTAATGTAGAATTTAATTAAATATGTATATAACTAAACAATATGATACTTATTTATTGGTAAAAAAGAGACACACTTTAATTTGTGAGATAAAAGTTACGTTTTCCTTTAATGGCTAAAAAATCGAACAGGTTTTAAAAATGTTATTAATAATTCTGATGAATGAAATACGTAGTACACTTCCAGTGTAATACGGTGCAAATAAAGTCATCTGTTTTACAAGGTCGACCACAGGTACTGCGTATAAAAGGATACGCTGAGTAACCTGCTGCATCCAGTTTTTTAATTCATTTCGGATCCGTTTTCCTGAATTACGGCGACCAAAATGAAGTTAGCTATACTGCTCGTTGTCGGCATTATCGCCAGATGTGAGTAAACAAAACTCGATAATCAAACATCAATAACTTACGTGCAGGCAATGTAATTATCTTGTGTTTGCATCGCTTAAAATTATTGTAATTATTCAATTGAGCAAAATATTAAATGAAAGAGGGAGACCGAATTATTATACATAATAACTTAAAATACATAAATGTTATCACGCAACTTTTCTTAATTATTATAAGTGTATACAAATATGTAAATGTGTAATATATATAGAAGAATTTATATATGAAAGGATGTAGCAGAGAGTTACCGAAATCATACTTTTAAAAATCGTACCTCATCAATGTTTTTATTATTACTGAATATGAACGACATCTAAGAAATAAAAAAATAAGATATAAATGAGCAATAAGAAATGTAAACGAAAAATTATATTCTATTTTGCACATGCTAAACATATTTAAAAAATCAGATAAAATTAAAGACTACGATTTAAGAGATTGATGCGATAACGGCAACTTTGCCTTCCACATTTTTTTAAATTATTTGCACACACACCGAATAAAATGGCATCAAACGAAGTAAAAAACGATCATGGATTGTTAAATATTATCAACAGAGGCATATGGCGACGAACCTGAAGCTATCGTGGGTGGCAACATAGCCATGCCCGGTCAGTTTAAAGTCTCCCTTCAGATGTTCGGGGCTCATATTTGCGGAGGTTCCCTTAATGACGAGACACATGTTGTCATCGCTGCCCATTGAGTTGACAGTAAAATACAAAATTGGTTTTTGGTACATACATATATAACAATTGTTATTTGAATCGATTCACTCAATTATACTTTGATTTCTTCTTAAATACATATTATAAATATAATATAGAATGATTGGCGATACGATAATTTTTGCTTCATTTTCCATCACGTTTTGTATCGTCTGATCTTCTAATTTATTCCGGTCCTTCTTCTATCACTCATCAAACTCATTCGACCAGAGAGTTGTGACCGGAGTCAGTGACTGTCACTGACATGACAGAGGGTGGCGATGAAAAACACAAAAGTGCATACGTTCGCACCCAGACTACACTGCTAAAAGTGGAGACGGTTGGAAGAACGATATTGCTGTAATCACGGTAAGCCTAGTTTTCAGTACCCTTTTGCTGTAGATGGAGAGATACAATGCATTCGCAAAATAATCTGAAATATTTCTATTCTTTAGTTGGCAACGCCGGTTAAGAAAACCGATTTGCAAGGTCCGATTTTTCTACCGAGCAAAGATTATGCCACTGACGAATATCGTGGTAGAATAAGCGGATGCGGAATAACTCGCGCCAACTCAGACGTCTCGCCTATATTTCGATACGTCAAAGTAAACGTCCGTAGCTCGGAGGCCTACGTTTAAAGAACCATCCCAAGAATAACGAATGATCGGTACACCTCGGAAAAACATGTATTACTCTGGAAAAGATTGGAAAAAGTGCCTAAGCGAGTGTCTTATCTTGTGTTATGTTTGATACACGTGGAACTGATTACATTTACATAATTATGAATCCTCATCAGGAATGTGAAACGAATTGAACGAATCAGTAATGAGAAAAATACAATTTCTTAGGGCGACAGCGGCGGTTCTCTCATGGTAAACGAACTATGTGGTATTGTCTCTTGGGTAGTGCTCTGCGCCCATGGTTTTTCTGATGTACTCATTAATGCCTATCATTATTTGGACTTCATCAAAGAATGTATAGAGATATGCTGATAATTCGAATAATTAGTTGACCGGCAACTTATATTCAAGGTGTCACCTAGAACTTTTCGTTACGACATGTGAAACGTGTTGATAAGGTTATTAATATTTTATTAATAGTATATTATGTAGTACAATAATGTACAATAGTACAATAATGTAATAGCATAAAATAAATAATAAAAAATATAATTTCAAATAAATCTGGTGTATTAGATTTGAGGCTTTCACGGCCATTGTTACATTCCGGAAGCTATACCTACACAATCTGGTGTATATTTCTTTTTCCGAAACATAAACTTTTTTGTGATATTAATAATTAAAATTCTATACGGAGCACAAATATTCTAAAAAAAAATTACAAAAGATGTTTTGTAATATTGGATTATATAGAGATTATTACCAAAATTGATATGTTTTCCTAGCAATATTATGCATGTTTGACTCTTTTTATTACAAAAGTATTGCAATTATTTCAATGTTTTTTATTGAAAAATATAAAATAACTAAACTTTATTATACCAAAGAAGAAATTATTCAATTTTTGTGCAATTACATTTAGTACAAAAGTAATACCTTATATTACATTTATAAAAAAATGGGAATTATAATATGAATATAGTAAAATTAATATAATCTGGTAAAAAAATTCTGATTATAGTAAGAGAAAGTTTCGAAATATAACTTCTGATACTCTCTTATAACTTTTAATATGTTCCCTGTTTAATTTAAAATATACACATAAAAAATGTGTAAGACAAATATCATATATTCATAGATATTTCTTAGTAACATATTATGTTTTAATAATGTCAACTTATGATAAAGCGTATCTTTCGGCACAATTATTACCTAAGTGGATAAAAAAAACATTTCATGTAATGCTACGTTATTTATGAATAATAATAGACTTATTTTTTGATATCTGTTTACAAATATTTCTTCAAAGAATGATTTTTGCCATTGCTTTTATAATGATATTATATACAACCAGACATTTCAAAACTCTAACTGATTACAGAGTGATACAATTTTTAATTTAATGCTATTGATAGAAATTATATAACAAACGTAGCTTTATTTTTTACACATTACATAATTTAATGCATTAAGAAACATTTTCTACTTCTTTTTTCTACAAAATAAAATAGTTTATGCAAATAAACTTTTAACTATATCCCATTTACTGTAAAATTAAGAAAGATGAACATATGACTAATACATATAATATTTATCTACTGACAGAAAAAATGATATATTAAATGACACATTAAATTGTCAGATAAAAATTACGTCTTTTCCTCGATGTTTGAAGCATCGGGCAAATATAGGATCTACAGGTGTCATTAACAATCGAATGGAATAAAATACGTAATACACTTCGTGTATTACGGTGCAAACAATGTCAGCTGCTGTACAAGGTCAAGCATAGGTACTGCGTATAAAAAGGAACCATGAGTAACCTGCTGCATTCAGTTTGTAATTCATTTCGGATTCGTTTCCTAAATTACGACGACTAAAATGAAGTTAGCTATTCTGCTCGTTGTCGGCGTTATCGCCAGACGTAAGTAAACAAAACTTGAGGATCAATCATCAATAACTTACGTACAGTCAATGTAATTACCGTGTGTTTGCATCGCTTAAAATTATTGTAATTATTGTACAAAATGTATTAAATGAGAGAAGGAGACAGAATTATTATACATAATAACATAAAGTACATAAATGTTATCACGCAGCTCTTCTTAATTTTTATAAGTGTGTAAAATTATGTAAATGTGTAATAAATACAGGAGAATTTATATAAAAGAATATAGGGAATAGTTACCGAAATTGTACTCTTAAATCGTACCTCAATTTCTTTATCATTATTGAATACGACACCTAAAAATTAAAAAAATAAGATAATGAGCAATATGTGTGGGTGTATATTTATGTGTAAAACAAACAAATATTTTTTATATTATATTTTATTTTATACGTGCTACACATATTTAAAAAATCAGATAAAGTTGTTAACATATGATTTAGGAAACGGGTGCCATAACAGCAACTTAGCCTTGCACATTTTTTTAAATTACTTGCACATATATCGAATAAAATGACATCAAACGAAGTAAAAAATGATTATGGATTTTTAAATATTGCCAACAGAGACATATGGCGACGAACCTGAAGCTATCGTGGGTGGTGATGTAGCCAAGCCCGGTCAGTTTAAACATCAAGTCTCCCTTCAGGTGTTAGGGAAACATATTTGCGGGGGTTCTCTTATTGACGAGACACATGTTCTCACCGCTGCCCATTGCCTTCAGAGTAAAACACAAAATTTGTTCTTGGTACGTACACATATAACAGTTGCTACTTGAAACGATTCACTCGACTATATCTTGATTTCTTCTTAAATACATACTATAAATGTAATATAGAAAAATTGGCGATACGATGATTTTCCTTCATTTTCCATCACGTTTTGTATCTCATCTTCTAATTTATTTCGATTCTTCTTCTATTACTCACCAAACTTATTCGGTACGCAGAAAGTTGTGACTGGAGCCACTAAAACGACAGAGGGAGAAAAACACAAAGTCAAGTGTATACGCTTGCACCCAGGCTACACTGGTAAGAGAACAGACGGTTGGAAGGATGATATTGCTGTAATCACGGTAAATCTAGTTTTCAGATCCCCTTTGCTGCGGGCGGAGAGATACAATGCTTTCGCAAAATAATCTAAAATACTTCTTTTCTCTAGTTGGAGACGCCGGCTAAGGAAACCGATTTGCAAGGTCCGATTTCTTTACCGAACAAGGATTATGCCACTGGCGAATATCGTGGTTTGATAAGCGGATGGGGAATGACTCGCGCCAACTCACGTGTCTCGTCTGTACTTCGATACGTCGAAGTAAACGTCCATAGCACGAAGCGCTGTTTAGAAGATCATAAGAAATTGGTACTTAATCCGTACACCACGGAAAAACAAGTATGCACTCTGGAAAAGGCTGGACAAGGTGCCTGCCAAGTAAGTGTTTTATCTTGCGTTTTGCTTGATGCCCGTGCAACTGATTACGTATATATGTAATTATGTATCCTCATCAGAAATGTGAAATGAACTGAACGAGTCACTAATGAGAAATATATAATTTCTTAGGGTGACAGCGGCGGTCCTCTCATGGTCAATGACGAACTCTGTGGTGTTGTCTCTTGGGTTTTACCCTGCGCCAGAGGTGTTTCAGATGTATTCACTCATGTCATTTACTATCTGGACTTCATCAAAGAAAGTTTAGAGATGTGCTGATAATTCGAATAATTAGTTGACCGGCAATTTATATTTCAGGCAAGACTTAGAATTTTTAGTTACGACATGTGAAACGTGTTGGTAACGTTATCAATATATTATGAATAATATAGTAGCAATAATGTAATAACATAAAATAAACAATAAAATATATCATTTCAAATAAATCTATATGTATATTTCTTTTCCCGAAACATAAACTTTTTTGTGATATTAATAATTAAAATTCTATACGGAGCACAAATATTCTAAAAAAAATTACGAAAGATGTTTCATGATATTGGACTATATAGAGATTATGACTAAAATTGATGTATTCTTTTAACAATATTATGCATATTTGACTCTTTTTATTATAAAAGTATTGCAATTATTTCAATGTTTCTTATTGGATAATATAAAATAACTGAACTTTATTATACCAAAAAAGAAATTATTCAATTTTTGTGCAATTACATTTAGTACAGAAGTAATATATTATATTACATTTATAAAAAAATAGGAATTATAATATGAATATAGTAAAATTAATATGGTCTGATAAAAAAATTTTGATTATAATAAAAGAAAGTTTCGAAATATAACTTCTGATACTCTCTTATAACTTTTAACATGTTCCCTGTGTAATTTAAAATATACACATAAAAAATGTGTAAGACAAATATCATATATTCATAGATATTTCTTAGTAACATATTATGTTTTAATAATGTCAACTTATGATAAAGCGTATCTTTCGGCACAATTATTACCTAAGTGGATAAAAAAGACATTTCATGTAATGCTACGTTATTTATGAATAATAATAGACTTATTTTTTGATATCTGTTTACAAATATTTCTTCAAAGAATGATTTTTACCATTGCTTTTATAATGATATTATATACAACCAGACATTTCAAAACTCTAACTGATTACAGAGTGATACAATTTTTAATTTAATGCTATTGATAGAAATTATATAACAAACGTAGCTTTATTTTTTACACATTACATAATTTAATGCATTAAGAAACATTTTCTACTTCTTTTTTCAACAAAATGAAATAGTTTATGCAAATAAACTTTTAACTATATTCCATTTACTGTAAAATTAAGAAAGATGAACATATGACTAATACTATAATATAATATTTACCTACTGACAGAAAAAATGATATATTGAATGACACATTAAATTGTCAGATAAAAATTACGTTTTTTCCTCGACGTTTGAAGCATCGGGCAAATATAGGATCTACAGGTGTACATTCATTAACAATCGAATGGAATAAAATACGTAATACACTTCTTGTGTATTGCGGTGCAAACAATGTCAGCTGCTGTACAAGGTCAAGCATAGGTACTGCGTATAAAAAGGAACCATGAGTAACCTGCCGCATCCAGTTTGTAATTCATTTCGGATCCGTTCCCTAAATTACGACGACTAAAATGAAGTTAGCTATTCTGCTCGTTGTCGGCGTTATCGCCAGACGTAAGTAAACAAAACTTGAGGATCAATCATCAATAACTTACGTACAGTCAATGTAATTACCGTGTGTTTGCATCGCTTAAAATTATTGTAATTATTGTACAAAATGTATTAAATGAGAGAAGGAGACAGAATTATTATACATAATAACATAAAATATATAAATGTTATCACGCAGCTTTTCTTAATTATTATAAGTGTGTAAAATTATGTAAACGTACTAAAAATACGTAATTATGTAAACGTGTAATAAATACAGAAGAATTTATATAAAAGAATATAGGGAATAGTTACCGAAATCGTATCTCATCAATTTCTTTATTATTATTGAATACGATTTCTAAAAATTAAAAAAATAAGATAATTAACAATGTGTGGGTGTATATTTATGTGTAAAATGTAAACAAACATTTTTATATTATATTTTATTTTATATGTGATACACATATTTAAAAAATCAAATAAAGTTGTTAACATATGATTTAGGAAACTGGTGCAATAACAGCAACTTTGCCTTGTGCGTTGATATTAATTATTTGCACATATATCGAATAAAATAGCATCAAACTAAGTGAAAAACGATTATGGATTCTTAAATATTACCAACAGAGACATATGGCAACGAACCTGAAGCTATCGTAGGTGGTGATGTAGCCAAGCCCGGTCAGTTTAAATATCAAGTCTCTCTTCAGTTGTCAGGGCAACATTTTTGCGGAGGTTGCCTTATTGACGAGACACATGTTCTCACCGCTGCTCATTGCCTTGCGGGTAATACAGTAGTAGAAAATTTGTTCGTGGTACGTATACATATAACAGTTACTACTTGAAACGATTCACTCGACTATATCTTGATTTCTTCTTAAATATATATTATAAATGTAATATAGAAAAATTGGCGATACGATGATTTTCCTTCATTTTCCATCACGTTTTGTATTGTCTCATCTTCTAATTTATTCCGGTTCTTCTTCTATTACTCATCAAACTTATTCGGTACGCAGAGAGTTTTGACCGGAGCCACTAACACAGCCACAGGGGGAGAAAAACACAAAGTCAAGCGTATACGCTTGCACCCAGAATATATTGGTAAGAGTGAATACGGTTGGGTGAACGACATTGCTGTAATCACGGTAAGCTTAGTTTTCAGAACTCCTTTGCTGCAGACGGAGAGACAATGCATTCGCAAAATAATCTAAAATACTTCTTTTCTCTAGTTGAGGACGCCAGCTAAGGCAAACGCTTTCCAAGCTCCAATTCCTCTACCGAGTAAAGATTACGCAACTGGCGAATATCGTGGTTTGATAAGCGGATGGGGCATGACTCGCGCCAACTCAGAAGTCTCGCCTGTACTTCGATACGTCGAAGTAAACGTTCATAGCACGAAGCGCTGTTTAGAAGATCATAAGAAATTGGACGGACTTAATAATCCATACACCACGGAAAAACAAGTATGCACTCTGGAAAGGCATGGACAAGGTGCCTGCCAAGTAAGTGTCCTATCTTCTGTTTTGCTTGATGCACGTGCAACTTAATTACGTATACGTAATTATGTATTCTCATCAAGAATGTGAAATGAACTGAACGAGTCACTAATGAGAAATATATAATTTCTTAGGGTGACAGCGGCGGTCCTCTCATGGTCAATGGCGAACTCTGTGGTATTGTCTCTTGGGTTTTACCCTGCGCCAGAGGTGTTTCTGATGTATTCACTCATGTCTATCGCTATCTGGACTTCATCAAAGAAAGTATAGAGATAGACTGATAATTCAAATAATTAGTCGACCGGCAATTTATACTCCAGGCAAGACTTAGAATTTTTAGTTACGACATGTGAAACGTGTTAGTAACGTTATCAATATTTTATTAATAATAATGTAGTAACATAAAATAAACAATAAAAAAATATTATTTCAAATAAATCTGGTGTATATTTCTTTTCTCGAAACATAAACTTTTTTGTAATATTAATAATTAAAATTCTATACGAAGAATAAATATTCTAAAAAAAAATTACAAAAGATGTTTTGTAATATTGAGCTATATAGAGATTATGACCAAAATTGATATGTTCTCTTAGCAATATAATGCATGTTTGACTCTTTTTATTACAAAAGTATTGAAATTATTTAAATGTTTTTTGTTGGATAATATAAATAATTAAATTTTATTATAGCAAAGAAGAAATTATTCAATTTTTGTGCAATTACATTTAGTACAGAAGTAATACCTTATATTACATTTATAAAAAAATGGAAATTATAATATGAGTATAGTAAAATTAATTTAATCTGATAAAAAAGTTATGATTATAGTAAAAAAGAGAAAGTTTTGAAATATAACTTCTTATACTCTCTTATAACTTTTAATATGTTCGCAGTTTAATTTAAAATACACATGTCAAAAATATATGAGACAAATATCATATATTAATATTCATAGATATTTCTTAGTAATATATTATGTTCTAATAATGTTAAATTATAATAAAGCGTATCTTCTGGCACAATTATTACTTAAGTGGATAAAAAAGACATTTCATACACATAACGCTACGTTATTTGTAAATATTAATAGATTTGTTTCTTGATGTTTGTTTACAAATATTTCTTCAAAGAATGATTTTTACCATTGCTTTTATAATGATATTATATACAACCAGACATTTCAGAGAACAGTAATTGATTACAGAGTGATACAATTTTTAATTTAATGCTATTGGTATAAATTATATAACAAATGTAGCTTCTATTTTTTATACATTACATAATCTGATGTATTAAAAAGCAATTTCTACTTCTTTCTTCGACAGAATGAGATAATTTATGCAAATGAACGTTAAAATATATCCTATTTAATGTAGAATTAAGGAAGATAGACATATGACTAATACATATAATACATATAATATTGACCTAATGAGAGAAAAGATAATACATTAAATAACACATTAAATTGTCAGATAAAAATTACGTCTTTTCCTCGACGGTTGAAGTATCGCGCAAATAGAGGATATCCACAGGTGTCATTAACAATCGAATGAAATAAAATACGTAATACACTTTTCGTGTATTACGGTGCAAACAGAGACAGCTGCTGTACAAGGTCAAGCACATGTAAGCACCGCGTATAAAAAGGAACGTTGGGTAGTCTACTGTGTCCAGTTTGTAATTCGTTTTGGATTCAATTCCTGAATTGCGACGAACAAGATGATAAAGTTAGCTGTTTTCTTCGTCGTTGGTGTTATCGCCAGACGTGAGTAAACAAATTAAGTTCAATAATCAAAAATCAAGAAATTACACACATGTTATGCAATTAGTATATGTTTGCATCACTTATTTTGCACGATTTTTAATAAATTAATATATAAAATTAATTAAGATATATAAATTTTAGCAGGCTCACAGGAGATATGTTTTAAATATATCTCCTTATTAATTTATATATACATATTTTATATATAGTACTGGTATTAATTATCGCATCCCTCAATAAATTTGAGCGCAAGCTCACACAAGCACTTTCAAATAGTAAGATTTTAGATGATTCTTTCCGCTCTAATTCATTTGACGTTAGTCCACGATTTTTCAGATAAATTCTATTGAGAACTCGGTCGTCTGTTGCAGTTGTACAGCGTTTTCTTACTTTGTCCTTCATTCACTCTAAATTCACTGTTTCTCGGTATTTTCTTGGGAATCTTACTATCGAATTAAACTCTGGCTGCTACTTCGCGCATAGAAAACTTTTCTTTAGATAAAGCAACAATAACACTCTTCGTTTTCGGATTCAATTCAATATCTTGGCTTATTTTGGGACAATATATAAGGCGAAAGGATTCGCCGAAGAATAACATTCACTCACATAACGTGAAAACAGATAACATATGACTATCATCAGCTTCCGGTCTATGTATAGATAGCAACTTAAAGAAATAAGGGTGCCACTACAAATAATCTCATTTGCACTGAGTACTTAAAAGAGTACTTTCACGAATGAATAACTTTGCAAGATGATACAATAATTTTAATGCCAGTATCGTACATTTCTGATTCGACGCGTACGTCCATTGATGATCAAGTGAAACTCAAGTTGAACGAAAAAGTTCTATATCATTGTACAAAATATTACGATAATTTTTGATAAATTAATCGTTAACAAATGATATAAATATATAAGTACGCCTAGGGTTCTTTAGGCAAAGTCTCGTTCCATATGTCCGCATCTATCTCTTGGCAATGGCGGACAATATGTAATGCAGTGGACAATGTAATGCGGGGCAGTGAAAGCGCAATGCTGGAATGCACTTTGCTACAAGATTATCAATAGAAGAAATCTTGGATAAAATTTTGACTAAAGACTGAAGAGCTCGTTCTACTACATCGCATGCACTCTTTCACCAATTTCTTTTCTCATAATCTCAATAATTCTCATAATCTCAATAATGCCGCGATAGTTTAAGAGATGGTGGGTGATTCTTCTATTTAGTTCAATGAGTTTCACTTGCATACGAATATTCGGCCATCTAAGCCAAACACCTTGTGTGTGCAGGAGAATATATAAATATCTTTTAGTGAAACATTATCAGACGAAATAATAAATTATTACGAACCTAATTATTATCAACAGAGACGTGTGGCGAAGAACCTGAAGCTATTATAGGTGGCAACAACGCCATAGATGGCCAATTCAAACATCAAGTCTCTCTTGAAATCGAATTTTATGGGGAGGTATTCCATATGTGTGGGGGTAGTATTATTACACCGTTACATATCCTTACTGCAGCTCATTGTGTTGAAAATGAAGATGATAATAAAAGTATGGTACGTACATAACATTACTCACCGGCAATAGGAGATTCATTCGATTTTTCATTTTCTCTTAGACATATTTACTATAAATGTAATATAGAGAAATTAGTAAGAGGTTAGCTCAGTTGAGTGGTTGTTCCGCAAACGGAAGATCATGGGGCACACAATAAACTCGCTCTGTATACCTAGAAAAATTTAGCGATGCTAATATGGTGATTTTTCTTGTCAGTTTTGTAACGTCATCTAATTGATTCTGATTTAACTTACTAAAATTATTCGGTTCGCAGAAAGTTGTAACCGGAACCATCAGCCCGGCATTAAAAGGTGAAAGACATGAGATTAAGTGTATTCGTTTGCATCCAGAATACACTGGTCAGAAGAAAGACGGATGGAAGCATGACATCGCTGTGATTACTGTAAGTTGAATTCTCGTTAAGTGCGGACGGAGATATAATGTGCAAGATGTGTGTGCAGCGATCTGAAATTCTTTCTTCTCTAGTTGAAAAAGCCGATCCAAATAAATAAATACCAAGCTCCGATTCCTCTAGCAACTAAGGATTACGCCACTGGTGAATATCGCGGTATTATCAGTGGATGGGGAAAGACCAGTATGAGTTCAGATTCTTCGGAGATACTTAAATGGGTCGAAGTGAATGTTTTGGATAAGGAAAGTTGCTTAAAGAGCCACAAATATACACCCACTAATCCAAAACATATATGCACCTTGGAGAAGATTGGGAAAGGCGCCTGTCAAGTAAGTGTAACTTTATATTATCCTTGAGGCAGCCGAAAATGATCGTGTACGTCTATTCGTATCCTCATTCCTTCAGGATAAGAAAGAAATTGTGAACAAGATTAAAAGTTAAAAATGTACCATTCTTTTAGGGTGACAGCGGCGGTCCTCTCATGGTCAATAACGAAGTTGCTGGTGTTGTCTCTTGGGTCGTGCCCTGCGCTATGGGTAGATCTGATGTATTCACTAATGTCTTCTACTATCTGGATTTCATCAAGGAGTGTCAACAGATGTGTTAATAAACCGAATAATCACAATCGACCAGCAACCTATATTTCAGGCATTTTCTAAAGTTTTCAGTTATTGTGATGTCGGCATCATCACTATTATCCTCCATCGTGAGATAATATATAAAAACATGAAATAAATAATAAAAAATACTATTGATCTTATTCATATTTCTCTTCTCAATTTAAACTTTTTTTTAAGATAAATTATGAATCCAAAGCTGTTATTGGTAAATTATATTTGGCGCGATTGGCATCTCTTTCGTGCGATCTATTACAGCGATATTCTCACAATTACTTCGACTCGTAGACAAATTTCCCAGATCCGGCATAGATTCCGATTATAATGCTCTGGTTTGTCTGGAAATTGGTTACCTCACTACAATGCCAATAGAGATTCCATTCTTATTCCAAACATGGCATCCCTGTCTAGAATCGACATAAAAATATTACGGGAACTCACGCTTTTTTCAATCGATAATAACGTTGACTACTTTTTCCCAAAAATCTCATTTTTATATCAGCTATTCTATGTAATAGAATAAAAAACCGAAAAAGTCAAATACTATAAAAACACTTTAATTCTATTTAACTGAATAATGAAATTATTTGGAAAGTCAAAGAGTGAAAGGAAAAAGAGGATAACAAAATAATAATTAATACTTTTGTAATTTTGACTTATACAAATATTAGGCCTGTTCTTCTTAAAATGTAGTCTTTCAAAACATTTCAGATATTTGGTTCAATATAAATATGTGGGATCTATTGCGTAGAGGGAGGAATAAATGGGAAAACACAAATCTCAGGTGCTAGAGACTAATCAGCTCGTTCTTCGTAACCAATATATATATATATATATATATATATATATATATATATATATATATATATATATATAT